GGAACAGGCCGAGGATCAAAAAGGTCTAGGAGGCCATTGTCAGAGTGAGGCTTTAAGCCTTTCTCCTCCTGGGCATCACGAGGACTGACTCACCATGACCCAAGTTGCTCCTCAACAAGGGTTTCCCAAGCCGGGTCACCCTTTGAGGTAGTGGTAGGAGGAGTAGGTGTCTTAAAAGGGTTTTTGCCTCCCCTAGATATTCCTTCTGAGGGGCCAGGGGAGAAACAGGCTTTGAGGGCAGATAGGGTCAGGTAGACCCCCAGAGGGGGGTCCTCTCTCAGGTTAATCTCCCTCTTCCTCACCAATTGTTCTGTGCCGTCCCAGGTGTCCCAATCAAAAAGATTGGCAGTCACCAACCAGGGCGCAACGCGTGTCAAGGTTTCCCAGACCTTTTCGGCCTGGGCATCTGAGATCTCTAAACCTCAGCTTTTAAGCATGAATCTCAGTGCTTTAAGAGATGGAGCATCATGCTTAGTGTGAGATTGCCCCATTTCTTCAGGGAGACCCCTACTTCGGAACTCGCTTGGCTTGGCTTGCCCATACTTTCACTTTTGGTGAACTGACTTCTTCCTGTCCCTGTTCGGGTGCCAGATGTCAGGGGTTTTAGATTTCGTTCCCTCCCGACCTGCAGGAGAGATAGGGAGAACATGCCCCAGCCAGGACAAGCCAAGAAAGGAGAGGGCCAACTGATTGCCCGCACCCAGCCCTCCCTTGCTGGAGGACAATCAGACACGTCAGGGAGACCAGTCAAAGCTGGAGCTCATTTATTGAGGAAGCACACACAACTAATATAAGGCACAGGAGCCAATCAGGATAAAGGTCAGCAGGGTGAGGAGAGTTCATGTATACACCCATTAAGGGGAGACGAGAGCTGTCCACGAGGGCAGAAGGATTCTGAGTCTATCCTAGAGGTGGTCCAGTTTTTCGTCACAACCCATGGTAATGCCTTCTGGCTGATCGCCAGGCGCCATCTTAGCCATGTGCAGCCCCAAGACCAGGAAGTGAGCATCAGTCTGCAAGTTAGGTTTCTTTTCTCCATCGTAGGTTTCTATTTCTCTGATGTGATGTGCCCTACAATGGTCTGATAATATTATTATGGATTTAACTTCATTTTTAATGATTTTGTATGGGTTGCTTTCCTAGATTCTATGTCTGCAGAACTTTGAGTTATCTTTCAATGTCCAACTCAAATGCTGTTTCCTTTGTGTTACTTTCTATATCTCACTCTTCCATGCAGAATTGGATATGTCTGCTTCTACAACATTGTGTACACAATTCTCCTGTAGCATTCAAGTTAAAGGTTAACATTTTAGGAAGGCACTTTAAGATGGCAGAAAATCTATGCCTCCATAAAAGCAGAAGAAACTTGGCACAAATTGTTAAGATAAATCTTTTCAGAATTCTGGAAATTAGCCAAAGGATTGCAAAATTTCCAGGAGCATTTATTCAATAAAATAATTGAAATTTCACAGAAAGATATTTTTCTGGAATTTTTAACTAGTACTATTCCCTTCTCCTTCTCTCTGGCTCCACATTACCTTTGAAAATCAAGTAGCCTCAACTAATGTCTTTGTAAAGCAGGCGACTAGAAGCCACTGGAGGGGATTCAGGGTTTCGAGTTCCTTAAAAAAGCCCATACTTGGAGGAATGTCACTATCTGGCCACCTTTAACATCCTGGCAAAGTCAATATGCAGAACTTGTCACTGTTTGTTAGTGGTGATGGTGGTACAACATGTGGTTAAATGACAATAACAAAAAACAAACAGTGAATCGTTCACTTTGAAAGGGTAAACATCATGGTATATAAATTATATTCCAGTCAAGCTGTTATAAAACAGAACAAAAATTTTTAAGGAATTTTATTTCCATCACAGGGTTGTGACCTCTCCAAGGGCAGGAAGGGAATTCTGATAATCTGGGTATTCCAAAGGCAAGTACAATGCCAGAAAAAAATTTTATAGGATAGTTTGTTTTGCTTATTTATCATTATTATTTTTGGGGATGAGACCTTGCTAAGTGGCTTAGGCTGACCTCAAACTTGCAATCCTCCCACCCCAACTTCCTAGTAGATGAGTTTACAGGTGTACACCACTGAACCCGGCTTCATAGAAATATTCTAAATGAATTATTGCATAGGTTTCTCATATGCTTCCTCCTTTATTTATTTTATTTACATGTATTAATTGTACATACTAATGGGATTCAGTGTGTTATTTCTACACACACATATAACATGTACTTGATCAAATCTTGTCTCCCTTTATTCACCATTCCCCTCTATTTCTAGTAATACCTGTTCTAAATTCAGATTGATTTTTTAAAAAAAATCTTCCATATATGAGAGAAAATATGCAGCACTTGCATTTCTGTTTGCCTTATTTAACTTAATACAATGTAGTCCAGTTCTACTTATTTTTTCTTCAAACGACAGGATTTTATTCTGCTTTATAGTTGAATAATATTCTGACATATATACCCTATTTCTTTTTTTTTCTTTTGTGGTACTGGGGATTGAATCCAGGGGTGCTCTACCACCGAGTAAAATCTCCAACACTTTTTATTTTTTATTTTGAGACAGGGTCTCACATAGTTGACCAGGATGTCCTCAAACTTGTGACCCTCTTACCTCAGCCTCCTGAGTCACTGGGATTACAAGTTTGCTCTGTACCACATTTCTACATTCATCCCTTGATGGGCATATAGGTTGATGCTACATCTTAGCTATTGTGTACAGAGCATGAAGATATCTCTTTATTATGCTGATTTCATTTCCTTTGAATATACACCCAGAAGTGTAAAATTGGATCATATATTAGGTCTATTTTCAATTTTTTGAGGAACCTCCAGACTATTCTCCATAATGAGATGTAATGATTTACATCCCCATCAACAGTGTATGAGAATTCCTTTTTCCACATCCTTGTCAGTATTTGTTATTGTTCGTTGAATAACAACAATTTAAACTAGGATGAGATGATATTGTAGTTTTACTTTGCATTTCCCTGATAGCTAATGATATTGAGTATTGTTTTCATATATATTTTTTGCCATTTGATTTCTTTTTTTGAGAAGTGTCTACTCAGATCATTTGCCCATTTTTAAATTGAATTATATTTTTGTTGTTGTTGCCTTTTTGAATTCTTTATATATTCTGGGTATTAATCTTTCGTCAGATTAACAGTTGGAAAATATTGTCTCCCAATCGTTAGCTTGTCTTTCCACTCTGTTGATTGTTTCTTTTGTTGTGTAGAACTTTTTATTTTGATATGTGTCATTGTTTGTTTGCTTTTGCTTTTATTTCCGGTGCTTTGGGGTCCTATCAAAATAAATAATTGCCTGTACCAGTGCTCTGAAGCATTTCCCCTTTGTTATTGTCTAGTAACTTCATAGTTTCAGGTTTTGCATTTAAGTCTTTGATCCACTTAGACTTAATTTTTGTATAGAGTGAGAGGGTCAAATTTCAGTCTTCTGCCTACGGGTATTTAGTTTTCCCAGCACCATTTATTGAAGAGGCTGTCCTTTTCCAATATACTTTTTGACACCTTTAGTGAGAATCATTTGGTTATATATGTATGAGATTTCTATTCTGTTCCATTGATGTATGTGTCTGTTTTTGTGCCACTACCATGCTGTTTGGTTGCTATGGCTCTGTAGTTTGTCTTGAAATCAAATCTTGTGATGCCCTCAGCTTTGTTCTTTTTCGTTATATGCTTACTTCTTTTAACCATTTATAGTATCTCAAATGCAAGCATGTAAAAAACACTTAAAAAAGACATCTGTTTTGTGGGAGGCAAATCAATGGCTACTATAGTTGGTTTATAATATGTCTTATTATAATTTAATATTTATTCATCTTGATTGATTTGCACCAGGGCAGCTATTGAAAAGAAAAGGAATGTGTATAATTTTGTTGCATTTTATTGTACTGTTTAGAATCTCCTAAATTCTAATGCAATAGTTCCTAACCCTCTCTTTATGTTTCTAACTTCTAGGCTAACTTTTCAAAATACATATTTCTAGGCCCCACTCTCAATTCTGAGTCACTTGGTTGTAAATCCCTGTTCAGATGAATGTAGACATCAATAGAAAGCCCTACATGTGATGGTGATCACTGCAACCCTTTTAGAATCTCTGGGGTAGATCAGTGCTTTTCCAACTTTAATGTGCATATCAATCTACTGAGGATGTTATAAAAATGGAGATTCTGATTCAATAGGCCTGGATGGTTTCTGAGATCTCACCTTCTAAAAAGTTTCCTAGTGAGCCCGCCTGAAAATCCAAAGACCATGCTTTCAATAGTAAGGTTGTATAACATAATTTAAAACATGCTGGAGTGGAAAAATTGCTAGTAAAAAGAAAATGAAAGAAAGCAACTTACATTATTAGGCAAAGGTATTGATGAAGGGAGGGAAGGAAGTAATTTCCTAGACATTAACTTTTATCTGGTGAAACTTTTCATTGATTTATCATTTCATGGTTTGTTAAGTTTAAGTTGACCTCACATGTTTTCTAGGAAAGGGTTTTATTTTTTTTCCTTTCCATTTCATCTGTAGGACATATAAAATACAGATTATAATTGAGTTTGTATAGTTTCTGCAGCTTTTGTCTTGACCATTAAGAATGATAGAATACAGTTAGGAAATATGAACAAATGTATTTGTTTTGTTTAGGTTGACATTATTGACATCTATGTACTGGGTTGAGTTCTGAAATTACAGAAATTGATAAAGGATAGTTCCTGCTTTCAAGGGAATTTCAATTTAAAAAAAATAGGGAGGCATTTGGAAATAGATTTGTGAACATCCAATTATAACGAAAGGAAGAATGAAAGATGTGTTAAATAGAAGCAGGGAGCATTCCATGGAAGAGGCAGAGAATTCCATCTGGGGATGTGACCCTTCACATCCACTTTCACATCTACCTGCCAGCTTCTCAGCTCATCATTCACAGTGAGCTCACAGTCTGAACTCATTTAAGAATAACTCACTAACACCACAGATCAATTTGGGGAACCTCCTAGAACTTTCTTTAAGGCATCTTTCATTTCTTTATTCCGAAGGCTATAGATCATGGGGTTGAAAAAAGGGGTCAAAACTGAGTAGAACAAAGTTGTGAACTTCTGCATACCCTCTGCTTGTCCTGACCCTGGACTCACGTATGTCATCATGACTGATCCATAGAATAGAAACACGACAGCCAAGTGTGAGGAGCAGGTGGAGAAGGCCTTCTTCCGGCCGGCAGCAGAGGGCACCTGTATCACAGCCCTCAACACCAGTGTGTAGGAGCCTATTATGTAGAAAAAGGTAGCAAAAATGAGGAGGGAGCTCATGGTTCCACATATGAGAACTGTCCCTGGGATAGGGACACAGGCTGAAGCCAGGGTCAGCAGGGGACCCAGGTCACACAGAAAGTCATCAATCACATTTGGGCCACAAAATGGCAGCTGGGTGATGAGTATCACTGGGATCAGAAACCAGAGGAAACCATAGACCCAGCAAAAGATGACCAGGCCATTACAGAACTTAGTAGTCATGATAGTGGGGTAGTGCAGGGGGCGGCAGATGGCCAGGAACCGGTCATAGGCCATGATGGAGAGAAATAAGCACTCAGTTGTGCCCAGTGAGAAGAAGAAGTACAACTGGAGGAGGCACCGGGTGAAGGAGATGGCTTTGGTCCTGGAGAGGAAGTTGGCCAGCATGTTGGGCACGTCAGAGTTGACATAGCATATCTCCAGGAAGGAGAAGTTGGCCAGCAGAATGTACATGGGGGTGTGGAGACGGTGGTCCCAGCGCACTGCACATACGATGGCCATATTTCCGAGCAGAGTCAGGATGTAAGTCATAAAGAATATGGAGAAAAGGAAGATCTGTATTTCCCAGCGGCAAGGGAAACCCAAGAGGATGAAGTCGCTCACCATGTAGGAGAAATTTCTGGCCTCTGAGCTCAATTTCTTTCCATCCTATGAGGATTACAGCACAAATTACACATCCAGGGGAGTTATGCCTCTGAGTCCTCCCCTCAGGGGAGTAAGCACACTTTTCTGGTCATGGGGCAGAGGGTCTAGACCAGTGGTTTCTCTTTGTTTTTTTGATTGGACACCCCAATAATAGGCTTGTTGAGAGTTGTTGAGTGTCCTCTTCTAAATTTTTATATTCACTTATAAATTGTATATAAACCACTGTCTATCAATATGATAAATCTTAGTAAAACTTTTTGAAAAAGTTTTCTTGGAATTCAAAGAAAAATAGAAACTCAAATTTCTCCTTTCTGTATTCCTCAGTAAGTTGCCTGGCATACCAAGCTCTGGAGAACACTGGTCTGAATGATACAGATCAGTGTTCGGCCAAAGCTAAACTGAGTTGTCTACTTTGACATAAATAATTCATTTTTAAAAATTAGAATTGATAGATTCATGGAACAAAACAATTGTATTGTCTAAGCAACACAGAGGAGAGGACATGAGGGTTAAAAAAATTAGATATGAAAATAACCACATAAGGATAGAATGACTTTAAGCAAGTTACACCTTAGCTACATTAAGTGACCATGTCTGGGCCCTGATCAGTATCTATTCTCTATCTGTAGGTTGTAGTAGTACATTGGCTACTGACTTTAGTGTTATAAGAATCCTTGGGGAAGCATTTGAAAGGTACAGCTCCAGCCTGGTTTGAGATCCACCAGTGTGGCAGAGCATGAACTTTAGAGATATTGGAGACCTGAGCTCCAATTCTGACTCTGATGCTTTGTAAATGGTACTTCCTGGTGAAAGCACTTACTGTCTGAAACTACATTACTAACTCTGTAAAATGTGAATAATTACACATATGTAGCAAGGTTGACATGAGACTTGTATAAAGTAATATATACAAAGTAGCTTATAGATTGTAAAATGCTACAGAAACATAAAATATTCTAAACTATTCAGAAATTATTGTGCTTGGTGGATATTATTATCCTTGGTTAATCTTGTAAATAAAGCTGATTTTAAAATGCAGAAGAATTTTTTTTTGCATGTGGAATTTTGGGCACATAACAGGTTAAATGTGTGTGTGTGTGTGTGTGTGTGTGTGTGTGTTTATATATACAGGAATAGCAGATAATCCCCTGGATCCTAAGACCACACCAAAGATTCAACCTGCTAACTATCTCTCTTAAGATTGTTTTTTTGTCTTCCAAATATACCATAGCTCCCATTTTCTTCCTACAGGTTATATTCCATAGCAGGGCTACCATTGTAGTCTTAAGTGACAGGATTATTTCTTGCTGGCTACAAATGTGCTTTGTATTAAGGCCACCTAGATTCCAATCTGCCCAATTTCCCAGGTGATCCCTTTCAAGGCTGATCCTCCTCAGTTGCTCTCTCATGGGTCTTCCTGTGAAAGTGAGCATCAGATTGTCCTCAAGTGACCACAATAGATTCACACCAAAAAACACCATTTCAGAAAAGGCAGCCTTGTGGAAGTCATGTTTTGATTCAACTTTTTTTTCTCTCTGATGTTCTTTAATTTAGTGCTTTATTCAGGTTTAAGGAAACTTGAAAATCAATTGATCGATAGATACACACATACTTTCTGTATATTTATTTTTAATTCAGGAGAATAGAGGAAAGTTTATCTGAATTTTACCTTGATCTAGTTGAAAGTTTCATTCAGAAGAAATTTGAAATATGGATTTATAATCCCTGTTTTACTTTTCCCTTCTTCCTCATTTTGTAAGCTCAAATATTCTGTTCACATTTCCATCTCCCCTCCAAACTGTGCTTGGTATTTTTATTTTTAGTAGAAAAATATGTAGTATGATTTTTTGAAGTGATTTTTTTGTAGATAGTAAAAAATATTAGCAGAAATCAAGATTAGTGTTATAAAAGAAAAAAATATGAATATAAAATCAAGGAAGAAAAAACTTGATAACATTAAATTTCACTGAAAATATCAATCCACACCCTTTATTTCCTAGCACTAAATACTGAAAGAAATTAGAAGCAATAATATTCCAAATTTTAAAGACTCGAAAAAAATGCTCAGTCACAAATGAATTAAGAATAGATTCCCACTAAAAGGAGGCAGGGCTCCTTCCTGTTGAAGAAAGGATTGATTTCAGGTCTGGGATTGGGAAAGCAGAAGGTGAACTGGGGCTATGTTGTCTTTTCCTGCTTCTCAGAAAGCAAAGAGATGCTTGAGAGTGAGCATGTCAAAAGGACATAGGCAGACCCTTGAAGGGGCTTCCAATAGATAATTTTGGAAAATTTTCAGTATCAAAAGGATAATGACTGAAATTTATGTTAAAACATCAAATGAATAAAATCCTACTACTGCCCATAATAATGAAATAAACAAAAAAGATCTGTTCACCTTTTTGTAATAACATCAGTTATGAAGGACAAAATAATTCAATAAACAAACAAAAAATCCAATAAACCCTTATGTAAATTTAACCCACAAAATCTGTGATTTGAGCAGTTTTCATTTTCTGTGCTATCATGTACACAAAGGCTTGTGACCAGATGGCACACACACCAGATTTGTCCGAGCAGCTTTCTCTGGGGGCAACTTGTGGACCCAGAATGAGTCAAAGTCATGGGGGTTCCTTTTACTCATTATAATCCTAATGGCACATAGAAATCTAGGATGTGACATTTCAAGAGGAACATCCTCATACGTAGGCCTTGGGTTTTCCAGCAGCATGACTGAGCAAGCACTATCTCCTCTAATGTGATGAAAGCCTCCCATAATATCAAGATGAAGGAAGCTTGACTCTCATCCTATTTCCAGTCTCAGAGTTTGTGTTGGGGAGAGGGAATATCAGTGCTTCTCCTGCTGTAATTGAAAGTTTTGGTTAGAGCTTTGCAGGTGAAAATTATAGGAAATGACAAACCGATGCTGGGAATCTTCCATCAGCCAGTGGCAAAGAGAGTGATAGCTCACAGCTGCTCTAATTTTCACAGGACTTTGCAGGAGGCAACTCTCTCTTTGGAGGGGTGACTTAAAGGAAATTAGTTTTGGACTTATGTGTATTATGTTCTTTGGTTTTCTTAATTACACTAGAGGGGAGTCATAGCAAGGATTATTACTTTCTTTCATATATGAAGAGATAAAGGCTCAAGGAGGTCAAATGCCTGAAGTTTTAAACCAGTAAATGGTAAGATAAATTCCATGCCTTTTTTCCTAGTTTGCCATTTTATCCCCATTTTAAAGAACTTCCTGTATATATGTTTCTAAAATGTCACCACCCCAGAGAAAAAGTTCAGGGAACTAATAAAATGTTAGTTTTTTTGGTGCTGTCCATATTCTCATAATCTGAGGGAAGGCAGGTGGGATCTTCCTCAAATCACATCACAGGTGAATTACAGTTTTTTCCCTTTAGTTTTAATTTTCTCATGGCTTTCTTTTTTATTTTTATTTTTTTTGTAATAATATCGAAAAAAGTCCCAGATACTACATAAAATCTTTGACTTCAAAAGTTCTGCTTGATTCATAATTATCAATTATGGTTATAAAATGGCATCAACAGGTCATCCAAAATGAGATCTGCTGCAATTGTTATTTCATGGCATTAATTCAATAAGAGGTGATCTCTCTTAGTACACTGAATTAAGAAGGGCATAGCAGGCATGATTGTAGTGCTATTTTACCCTTACCTGACTTTTGTGATATATATATATATATATATATATATATATATATATATATATATATCTTCTCTATACTTATCATAGCATAAGGCAGATCACCTCTCATGCATTTATGCAAAATCTTGATAATTTAAAAAGGAATATAGTTAAAAAAGAGAAGAAAATACAGGAAATTGTTTATTTGCATTTTTTAGGTTTTGTAATTCTATTTGTCAGAGTCTTTGATTTATTATTATTTTTTCCTCTCAACTAGATATTATCCTCTTTTCTCTCATTGCCTCCAGGAATTCCTATCTTCTACTTATTTTTTTGTAGCACAAAGGGCAATTGAATCAATACACTATGTCCTAGGAACCCATGTAAAGGAAAGGGACAACATCCACCACAATATCCACCTGTTTCTTTCTATATTCTGGAGGAAATAAGAAAACTGTGAAGTCTAGCCTTTCATTTCTTGGAATTATGTGTTGCTTATATTCACTGGCCTCAGAGAAATCATGGATTAGAATAGAACCTTAAGAGTTGCATTTTCTTCTTGCTCTGAACTCACTGAATCTTGGAGCTTTAAGAGATGCTAGTGGTTTTCCAGCTTCTCTTTGCCAGCAGTGAGTCTTTCTCTCCTACCTTCTTGCTGGTGGTTTTCTAGCTTCTTCTGGAAGAGCAGTGTCAAAGAGCTCATTACAAAGGAAGGCAGGGCTTCAGCTTCAGTGCACCTTTCATATTTGGAAGTTGCAGTAATATTCCTTGCTCTCCCTTGAGTCACTTTCCAATTTTGATTTACTGCTTTGGTCTTCCACTTCAGGAAAGGGAAGTTAGCATTTAATATGTGCCCATCATATGTACACACTCTGTAGGAGTTTGAACATAAATTATCCTTCTTACCCCTCTAATAATTGCAGAAGTAATAACAGAGTCACAGGAAGACTGAGTTACCAGGCCATAAACAGTAAGGTCAGTGTGTTATAGCCTAGCCTAGTCAGTAAGCACCATACAGACTATAGGATATCAATAAGATGAGGTAGAATTATAGGATAAGTAGGATAAGTAGTGTTAAGTTATTCTAGTTATAAGTTACTTAAGAACTTAGCCTAAGTAACTCCATCTTAACAGAAACTATCTTGAAGGGGCTCTGGGATTGTGGCTCAGCGGTAGAGAGCTCGCCTAGCATGCACAGGGTTCGATCCTCAGCACCACATAAAAATAAATGAATGGAACAAAGGTATTGTGTCCAACTACAACTAAAAAAATAAATATTAAAAAAAGAAACTATCTTGATTAGAGAGGGTGGTTAACCCAATTAAGATTGTTGCAACCCCTGCCCAACCACAAATGGCAACTCCACCCCAAACAGAAAACCCCGGTGAATTGCAGACACTTATAATATTGTAGCAGTTTGTATAATTGCTAAATTTAGATTCTGAAAAGAGATTACTTTGCACAGTTGCAGAATCCTGCACAGGGTGGAAGTGGTTTTTGTCTTTAAAAGACTTCTGTGGGCAGAGATGGGCTCTGCACCTTGAACAGCCTCTTGCTGAGGGGCAGTTAGCTGGCTAAATAAAAACTACAATTTGGACAAAATTTGAAATGAGAGTGTTTTCCGAGTGATGGGCCCATAACAAATATTGAGCAAGATTTTTTTCTTTTTACTACATTATACAGGTGTTCATTGTCAGTCTACACTTCAAAAGATTTGAGGGAGGTGTACGTGTAGTCTTTGAATCTTCTCTATTTAGATTAAGCACTCTTGGTTTTTTCAACTAAATATGATATAATTTCCAGGCCTTCTTCATCCTGGTTACCTTACTTTTACTGATCACATTTTAAAAAAATATTATGTGAAAACTGAACGCAGTACTCTTCATGCTGTGTGACTGACAGAGCACAGAGGAACTATAACCTCTTTGCTTCTGAAAACTCATTCAGACTTTAATTGTCACTTTATACTTGATTTTTTTTTTTACTGAGTCTGCATTTGACCAAAGACTGGATAGGTTGTTCACAAGAACTTTCTAAAAACTAGTCTGGCCCCATCTGATGCATGTGTTGCTGAGTTTTTGAAGTGGAAATAGTATTTATTATTGAATTTCACTGTTTTTAGTCTATTAAGATCTTTTAGACTTTCAAAACACTAGCTTTTAAATTTTTATTGTCTATTAATTTGCTTAACATTTTTGTGAATTTCATCTGTCTTTGATTAAAATATTATGAAGAGCATGAGAAAATGGTTTTTCAATTCACTTAAAACTTTTTCTATGTTAGCATCAATATTATCAGTAATTGTATATAAATGGCTAAGCCAAAAATACATGGTACAAAGGTGATGGAAATCCCATTTTATCTCTGGAAAGCATTCTGGTATATATTATTAAACAGTTTATTAAAAAATTTGTAGAGGCAGCTTTTAGACTTCACCTTTATGGCATTAAATAACTGCTGGCTTTTGCTCAATTTTAATTTTTTAAACTTTCATTATTCACATTTTTTTTTTTAAAAAGAAGTCTGTAATTATCTTAAACTACTTCTGTAAATTCATCACCCTGGAGTATAATTTATGTAGGTTTGAGTACTTACGGTACTTAAAACAGTTGGCTTTTACTTCATTTTTATGTGAATTCTCTACTGAATGTTTCTTGTTCTTTTTTTTAACATTTATTTTTTAGTCGTAGGTGGACACAATACCTTTATTTTATTTTTATGTGATGCTGAGGATTGAACCCAGTGCCTCACACTTGCTAGGCGAATGCTCTGTCTCTGAGCAACAACCCCAGCCCCTGCCTGTTTCTTCTCCCTTCTCTGGAATGGAGATCATCTTTCAGAGCCGTGCGTATTCTAACTGTGAAACACCTTTTTCATGGGATCTTATATAGTTATAGCATATATAGGATTTCCTAGGGAGAATGTTAATATGTAGATTCTGACTCAAAAGGAATGGTTGGGGCCTGGGATTCTAAGTTTCTAATGAACAATGAAGTGATGCTGACTCTTGGGCAAAGGTTTATATAGCTATAGCATTCTTGGCATAAGAAGAGTTTGTGTAATTACTTTATATACATTTTTGTAGAGAAATTAAATGATACAAAAGCATAAAAAAATTCCTAGAAAGATATAAAACTTTAATAGTAGTGTTACAGATCAGATAAATTATTTTCTTTTTTATGTCATTTCTCAAATTTCTGTAAGCAGCATATATTACTTTTATAATTTGAAAAAACAGTTATGAAATACTGATTTTGAAGGTACTTACTCTTCTGCATCTTCCATCTTCCCCAAGCACTTTTTGTGACCTTTGTTATTTCCATAACATCCCAGGGTGCTAAGAAATCCCCTATTTGTGCTGTATTTTACTTACCATGTAGGTTATCATCTTCCCTTCATTTGATACTTGAATTTATAGCTAATGAATTCAGCTTCTGTACAGCAGGGTTGAGGAGAGAGAGACTCTTAAACGTTGCATTTTATTTTTGTGTGACAGATACCATTTCACAAACCTAGGCAGAGATTAGAGGTCCAGTTTAGAAAATGGAATGCCACATTCTGAGGACTGATAGCTATCAGCTCCTAGAAAATATTTGCACAGTTACTTTCATTGGAAGGAATCATATCCTTTCCTCAGTCTAGATTTCTTCCCTAAAATAAACAAAAAGGTAAATGGCTTAGTTTGCATCTTGGGTTTTACTTTAATTCAGTAAAGGTAGTTTATTAAACTTACATTTCCACACTGAAGTATAACACATGTATTATATAATATAAAAATATTTTCTGGGTTCCACATTCGTGAAATATGAACATCTGCCCTTTGTTGTAGGAGTTGGTTCAGGGACCGACTGGAAATGGGAAACAATGTCTGCAGATAAGCCTTCCCTTTCTCTTCATTCCCCTGGATCTCAGAGTTCTGTCCCCTGTGCTTGCCCTTTGAATACATTTGGGGAAATATTTTTCCAGTTGGAGAAGACATAGTCTCCCTCC